GTGATGGTCGCCGCTTTGGCGTCGATATCGGTGCGACTGCTCGGCCCTAACAATACAACCACCACCACGCGCAAATAACGCGCTCGTTGTTCTGCTTGCTTGTGTTTGTGTGTTGGAGAGAAGGCCAGCCGCACGGGTTGCAATTCAAGTTTCCCAGCATCAGAGGATTGATTCCGTATTCAGTTGTCTAGAAGTGTATATTGTGTTCTAGACAAAAGTGTGATTGAAAAGTCGCGAAGGTTGAGACGTACCAGCAGCAGATTGTTGGTCGGTTTTGCTGATGGCTTCTGAGGACACGTTAGGTGTTGATCCCGAGCATACAATTCAGATGCCGCATACGCCTATTGTAAGTTTTACTTCTTTCATATTTTTAGGTCTCCAAAAAAAAAGAGTAGAGTAATTGATTGAAATATGTACGTATCTTCTGAATTATGATCTGCCTTTTGCCTCATTTTTTAACTTTTACCAGTTATGAAAATTTTAAAAATTTGCTTTGCTCTCATTATTTATTTATTTATGTTTTTTTTTTTTTTTTCTATTTTATCTTTATTCCAACATTTCAACTTGGGATTTTTTTTTTTGTAAGTTAATGATCAAAAAAATTTTTATAAGAAGTGTTGTTGGGCGTTTGGTGTGTGTTTTGCCTGTAAGTCAGTAAGTGTTTTGGAGAATTCTGAAGTTGCAAGAAAAAAAAATTTAGTTGCAGCTGAATGCGAATGCATGGACTTTAGGCAATAGCTGTTCTTCGTTAACATCGAGGAAACAGCTGGGAATGACTGAAATTTTTTGTTGTCTTAGGAGTTGTGAAGTCGTTTTAACTTTTTCACTTTCATTCCATCATCTTTGATGCACCGTGGGATGATTCTGTCGGTTTTTTAAATTTATAAGGCACTTCTTCTTTCCAGCTCTGTCTTTTAGTTGAAGTTTCCTTGCAAAAGAAAAAAAATGATGAAAAGGACAAAGTTATGAACCATAATTATTATTCAGAATTGTTCAGTGAATTTTGAAGACTTTCTTTTTCTTTTTCGTTTTATTTTTTTCCCCCCCCTTTTTTTTTTCTTTTTTTTGCTAGTAAAACTAGACTTTTTTCTTTTTTTTTCTTTTTTTTTTTTTTGTGCTTTAGTTGTTAATTGCTTTATTCATCTGTCGCTGTTTTTTTTGCATCCAGTTTAGTTTGGTTTAGTTTGAAGGCGGTGGTAGTCAGATTGTGAAGATGATGTTTGTTGTCTTATCTGCTCGAATAGGCTTTCAAGGTGTTGAATTCGTTTACTTGATTATTTTTTGTCAGTATAATGTCTC